TAGTAACATAGAAGTAACTCTAAAGGCCCACGCACATTAGATCCCAAACGCGTTGCGGCAAAGAGACAGGTAAATATATTGTCTTTCTGTCAAATTTACGCCAACGCAACGCAAACGGATCTAATGTGGGTGGCCCTTAAGACCAGAAGGTCCCGAAGAAACGAGCTCAACTTTTTGGCTCAGCTCTGGTACAATCTTCGGTCCCAAGCTTACCGATGAACCCCTCGAAACATAGGAAAATCCCCGAACCCCTCATTTTATCTGTCAAACTTTCATAGCGAATCAAAACAAACATAGTGTAGTACTGGAATTTATACTAGCATGGGGTACGTTAATCGATTTGCTTGGGACCAATAGGTTAGTCAAGTAGTGAGCCAATTTAAAATCGTTAGTTTCGTATTGATTATTGGTAGTAACGCTTGGTACATTCCTATCAATGTGCTTGTCGAAGCACTCTCCATGACCATCCATCAAGTTGACGAAAAAAGTATTAAGCAACTGGTGAATGTCGTCTTCGGTGGTGATCCATCACCGATCTGGTTATTCCCGACAATCACGACACTCATCGGTGCTCTTTCGGAAGCAGTTGCTGCTTTGCATGCTTATGTGAGTGTATTGGTAAGCAAGCCCAATATCTTCCGTTTCATTTTGCCAGCTCTGTTTGTAACTCACACAGTCGCGCGTGCCGAGACGAACTTGGAATGCGTAGGCATTGTTTTCATTTTGTCCTGTCGTTTCGATTTTTCTCATCATCGTACTGTAGACGTCTTAACTGTTTTCGTTGTGCTTTAGATCATCAGCAGCGAGGTTAACGTGTTGCCTGTGAGCAGCGACCATTACTGGTGATTGTTGTTTGTCATGGCTCTAGCTCTCACTGCGTGACAAAACGTTCTGTCAGCGATAGTCGGTTGATTCGTTGACGAGTGTCGAGTGAGTGTCATGATATTTTGCATCACTGGATACAACATTGAATGATTGGACGGTGACAAAAGTTGAAGGACGAGGATTATATAATGTTTTGTTTATTTGACAATCTTTACCGCATCCTATTAGAATAAATTGAGGTTCGAATACTCTGTGAATTAGTTTTGATAATTGAAAGTCTAGTCATTTCAAGAGTTCTGCTCACTGAGGACACAATTAGCTAAATACTGGAATGAACATTTCAAAAGATCCTATCTTCTCTTAATGGCTTTCTCTGTGGATAACCACAGCTACACAAACAGATATCGCACTATTTTTGCAACATAGTTTGATAAAGGCGGTTTAATCTAGTATCCAAACAGTCACGTCAGTATTTTGGGTCACCTACAATTATGGGCCACTTCCATTAGATAACCCACAGAACTGACTGACCTATAATACTGGGATAACTGTTTCTGCAGCTGAGTTATTTACGAAAGAGAAAGTCGATGCAGAGAATCGATCAAAGCTAATAGGACCTTTTGAAATGTTCCTCTAGATTTGATAATTTCAAGTGTGCTGGTCCAGTGTTATTCGTACCTTTCCTTGAAAAGAACACAGGCACTAGTTTACAGATGAATTCCAAGATTTATTGCATGGGTTTCCAAATGATCTTCGAGTGAAATTCTACGCGAATTCGAAACAAAATTTCTGGTAGATTAAGAAATGAGCTACCGTACACAACACAAACGCGCATAAGGTCTCAAGGCTGAATGTGTTGAAATCCCAACATTGAAAAGACAATTCCCACCATCTTCAATCAGAGGTTGCATGGGCTGATCACACAACACTAGACAACGGACAGACAACACGCAACACACCTAGTAGAACAGTAGGATTTTTGCTTTTTACGATAAGTGCAACTGGCTGCAGCGGGAATCGAACCCTCACTCCCTGAGCCATAGCATGCCTGAAGGAACGGTTACACCGCTAATCACACGACCACAATTCCTCATTATTATCAAATCGCAAATTATACAATCCAGCCAGCTGTGAACATTAAACCGTGCTATACATTCCGTGCTTACAGACAAGCACGTCATGTTAAAAATTTGTTGTGCTCTTTTCAATCTACATTGAAAAAATTGCAATTACTTGATTCATTTTCCTCAGCCTCTTTTTTTTTAACTAGTTCGTTTATTTGGAAGGCTCAATCGCGTTAGCTTTACGGAGCCGATAGTTCATTGTTCTTTGTTTGTAACAAAATTCACTTAATTCTATGTCTAGTAGGAGTTGGGCCGAATACTCGCGGCTTACTCGAGGTTAGAGAGGTACATTGTCGAAGGATAGGATCAGGGGAGGAGCTTGGGGGTAAGGTTTCGTCTGGAGTTCGACCGGCTATGGTGACCATCTCCTCAGCCTCATCGAAACTTTAGTCAAGCTATGAAGGAACGAGAAATCTAATGCATCGGGCTGCAATCTTCGTGGTGGCCCTAATCTGAATAGTGCGGAGTCGATCACTTTCAAATTTCAAGTTATTTTGCTTGAAAAATATTCATTTTCTTGCTTTTGTTTACATCCCCTCATCACCGCTCGCAAATTGGTGCCTTTTGCCAGAGCAAAAATGAAGACTCGCTTGTGACTGTCTTATTGTTTGTTTACAATTGCTTGATTGAGCCAATATGTTGTAATAATAATAACTATAAATATAATAAAATAATAAAAAGCTTTAAACTGATCCATGTCAAGTCAGACGATAATTTTGCTGCTCTCCCTCAGACCCGTTTATTTTGATGTTTAAGTTTCCTTTGTTGAGGATGTCTTCAATGATTAGTGGTTTTGCAATGAATTAATCGTAGTTTTTCAGCAAGCTGCGATTGTTTGTAAAATTCCCATCCCGGCAACCCCGTATTTCTGACACCTTGAATGATTTGGTTGGAAATCGCAAGGATAAATCGGATTGAGAATGACGCGGGAAGTGGCGGGTGTAGACGTTTTATATTCAAAGGATGATAAAATTCCTGTGTTTTAGGGTTTTATAGTGCCCTCAAAGGCAGACCAGAAACCTAGCATATCGTGCTGTGAAAAACAATGGTTTATCAGCGGCCGGAAAGAGATGGAACCGGTGGGAAACATTGTTGGATACCGACTATAGAGGATGATGAATAGACTTCTGTAGTTTGTTTTGTGTGAGTTGCATCATTGTTTGAATTAAGGGTGCTAATGGGGGCTGAATAACTGCCTCTTTCTATTGAGCCCACACTAGAACCTACATTTCGTATTTAGATCAGTAAGTAAACTGCTGGTCTGAGTTCCTCTGGTATATTCAATTAGAGGACGTTCCTGAATATACAGTCAAACAGCACCTAATGTTGTGAACAACCCCAACAAACAATTTAAGTTGATTAATAGTTGAATAAGCTATTTTTTAGCTAAAGAAGCATATTTCTGCCTGAATAAGCTCTTATTTAGCTTTCAATGTTTTTGCAAGTCCCATGGGACTTCAATGACTATTATCCAGCAGAGCTCCCATTTAATTTACAACAACCTAATGCCTACGAGATTGTACCGAAGGTGTGCCAAAGGTGTGCCAAAGGTGTGCCAAAGGTGTGCCAAAGGAGATGAAAAATAAATGACATTGCTTTTGAAACCGGATTTCCATCATCTTTTTTCACGTTGTGAAGGTTTTGAGGGTTAAGGGACCAACGGTCGCACTGATAAAAAGTCAAAAGACAAAACGTTGAAAAACAAAAGGTTGAAAGATAAAAGGTCGGAAGGACAAAAGTTCGTAAGGACACAAGGTTGGAAGGACAAAAGTCGAAAGGACAAAAGATCGAAGGGAAACAAGTGTCGAAAGGACAAAAAGTCGGAACGACAAAAGGTCGGAACGACAAAAGGTTGGAACGAAAAAAGGTCGGAATGACAAAAGGTCATTTCAACATTTTCTCCTTTCGGCCTTCTGTCCTTACGACCTTTTGTCTTTCGATCTTTTTTTCATTTCTGTCTTTTGTATTTCGACCTTTTCTCATAGATTCGGGTTTGGGATAGTATCACTTTGTCAACTCTATGAATGAGCTCAGAAATTTATGATTAAAAGTCCAATTACGATCATTGTTTTCACTTCCATTTAGTAGTATAAGGCCAAAAATGCTCAGCTATGCAGTATTGGCCCATAAAAGTGCCTTTAAACCAGACAAACATTGATCGGAGAATGTCACGTATAGAAAAAGGGTTGTTTTTCATGAAAATCAAATTTTTAAATCGCTATATGTCTCATATTTCGCAACATTTTCAACTTTGGTTCAATATAATCTTTGAATTAACCTGCTAAAATATAGTACACAACACAATATTATATTAAAGTATAGCAGAAAAAGAAAACAATCTGAAAAAAGCTCTGCACAATCAAATTGACAAATATCCGCGCCAAATTAAAATTGAAGCCTAGATAGAATGATTCAAAGTCAGTTATACGTTGTCAACATGATAGATATAGAGAGAATGGAAAGAAGTTTCGACGGGATTTTTTTCATGACCAATTTTTGGTCTGTACATTTTTTTACTACCGAATTTTAATAGTTGTTGTATAAGTAGTTGAATTTAATCATAGTTGATGAATTTTCTTGAATTGGTAGTATTTTCGAAACGTAGGGCGTTATTGAACATTTAGATATTTTAATTTGTTAGAATTCCTTCTTTTTGTGGGTCACATTTTCCCCTTACACTCTACTAACTCCAACTTAACATACTAATACAAACAAGACAAAAGTACGAGCTTTTCTCGCTATGCACACATAGATCTTTATCACCATCTCTTAAAAACCTTCGTCACTGCACCACCACCACCACCACCATCGCCATCATCATGCTTCTTAAACCACCATCACCACCACCACCACCACTTTTGTCACCTGCCTTATCTCACATTCACCACCACAACCATCTCTCAAAGTACCGCACCCAAAAACTAAAACAATAATCGTTATTGTTCTCTTGTTTTTTTTTTTCTTCTCTTCTCTTTTTACATATGTGTGTGTGTATTCTCTCCCCTCAACGTACCGTAAACAAAAAAATACCAAACGTAACGTATTTCGTAGAAAAAGAGTAATTAGAGTCAATAGTATCGAAGATGATGTACATCTTGTTCATAGAGAGCAAGGCATTGGAAAACAGTCAAAATCTGTTCAGGTAGTGATGAGTGATTCCATACTTTCTCTATATTCTCTCCCCTTTTTCGATTATTTTGCTTTGTATCCTCTCTTTGAGTATTCTCTCCCTTTTCTGTCCCGTTTCGAGTATCCTCAAACGCTTTTTCTCAGCCCCTCCTAACCTAACCTATCAACCTAAACGAATGCCACTAACCAAAAAAAAAAAACTAACCCAAAACCGTTTGCTTGCTCTTCATTTGCTACTAACCTCCCCTCTTTAGATAGTTTTCATTTCCAGAAAAAAAATGAAGCGAAAACCTTTACTAAACGAATCTCCATTTTCTCTGTTTTTTTGTTCTCTTTCTTCCCTCTCTTCCCGTCGTTGTATCGTTGCGTGTAAACTGTATAAATGTGTGTTTGTGTGGCTCCATCCCGTCCCTGTCTCGTCCGGCAAACCGAAGGTCGCGGAATGGATGGGACGAAGAGAAGCCTGGTCGGCGGATCGATCGTCCGATTCCCGTACCAAACCGACGCGTTGGGAATTTAGAGGAAGACGACACGCTAACAAAGCACTAGCCGCCGCCGGCCACGACAACCGAGGCAACACGATCGGCGACGACAACGACGACGATGACAGAGGAGGAGAAGGAGGAGGCAGTGGTGGAGCGAGAGACCTGGTGGGAGTCAGCGATAAGAAAACCATGACCGATGGTAGTGGTAAAACGAAAGACCAGACTGTTAAGATTAGGTTAGTAGATCCCCCGTGCTCGAGTAGGCTGGTGGTGGTGCGGTATTAATGCGAGGGTCTGTACGGTGGGGTTCTGTAATTAGTCGTAGATGGTATTGCAATCCTGCGTAGAACAAAAAAATAGCGAGATACTTCTGCTAAGTCTAATTGGTGTGTTGATGGTAGTCGCAAATGTATGTGGTCGATCTTAGCTCAAGATTTGAAAACTGTGAACCTTAGAAGCCTCACGTGGATTACGGATAGCCAGCGAGTAATTTAGATTACCTTTCAATGTGGTTTTCTGGAATTCGAACCCATGGTTTGCTTGATCCGGCTCATATGATTGCATTCTTATACAGCACTGGCGCTGTGGACTTTATATGGAAATCAGTATGGGATAAGCGAACATCTTGTTCATCTTTCGCCATTATGATTTACGGATCTCTAGCGGTCAGAATAATAAGGCCTAGACAACCAGAAATCGTATATCAAAGTACAGACAGTATCGTAAATTGCTACAGTTTAAGTCAACATCGCATATAAGAATAACATACATCGCATTATGTTTAAGTTAAATCGTATAGAATGCAAATTTCCGACTTATATACGGAGAACCAGTTTTACATCGTACTGTATCATAAATTAAATCGGATTACATCGTAATACTTTCCAAATTGAATTTGTTATTACATATTAAATCGTATATAACGTTAAATCAACACGTTTAAAAAGGAATTAAAATTTGCACGTGCATGGCCTCCACTTTTGTATTTTTTTTTGCATTCTATACGATTTGTTTGTTTGTATATATGTTTGTAAATCGCAGAAACAACTTTGAATATACGTGCATTCTGGTTGTCTGGGGTGCCTAGCTGCGATGACCAATTCTCTTCAGCGATTTTCTCTCTGAATTACTACACTTTGGTGAATTTTCCGATTTTGTTTTGGGTCTTAATATCTATAAACAAATCGTACATAAAACCAAAAAATATTGCACCGTGCCAAAACCGAACGGTTTTTAAAAATAATTATTTTTGCTCCTTGTGATTACAATTATTAATAAAAGACTAACTACTAATAACGTCCAGTGTTGGGAAAATATAAAAAATCAAATCTTACAAATGACCATAATCACGCCTAATTTTCGAAGACAAAAATTAACCAGCAAACAACTGCGGATGATATCGTAGCTCCGAATATCAAGCTAACAAAACTAACAAGCAACAATTCTCACCAAACTGGTGAGTTTGAATTTCAAGATTTTTGGTACACTCGAACGCGACCGGAACTTCCATACCTGCTGGCAGTAGTAACTTTGTGTCTGCCATCGGTGAAGAGAGAGAGATCGAGAGATAGCAAACTATATTTTCCCTTGCTAAGAAAACGATGTCCAACGGAATCATTGTTGTGTCGATTCAACTATCTGCGACAATTTCACATGTTGTAAATAGTCTCGCAATATCAAAGGATATTGTAAAATCAACATCATGCACTTTGTTCCAATATCACGCGTGATATTGAGAGCGTATGAGAGCGAAAAAAATATCATTTTGTTAATAGATAATCGATAACGTCTATATTATAAAGATGACATCAAAATCAACGAAATCACAAATCCCAAATTTTCACGATTCGATTTTCGCACGGTTCGATTTGGCAAAACTAAATTTTCAGGCTTGTGGCCAAAATCAAACAGGTACTGCACATATAAAAGTAGAGGCATGGACTACACGCAGGCAAAAGAACGTAAGAATTCCATAAGAAACACTTATGGATTTGAGCCATAAGAAATGAGTGTGAACACTTATGAATTTGAGCCATAAGAAATGAGTGTGAAGTTCATTGATTTGCCTTATGAAAAATAATGTTGACAGTAAATAATAAATAGGAGCAGACTGGATCCGGAAAATGGACGTTGAGGTTAAGGGGCCCGTGTGTTGACCACTCGTCTTTCAACGCTTGGAAATAATGAAATGGTTTAAGGCGTATAAGAGCTACCTCATGTTACCCGAAAAGCATTCATAAGTCACGCTTATGAAATTCATATATGTTGTTCATAAGTTGAGCCTTATGAAATTCTGAGGTCCATTTGTCTCAGTGTAAGGCTCTGAACAATTTGGTGGATTATTTTAACTTTTGGGTAAAATATGACAGATGGAAAGCTATCGATTCACCCTACTATCCGAGCGTGGTTACTTCTGACAGACGATTTTCGGGATGCCTACCGATTCACAGACGAAAGCTTAAAAGCTTCCGATTTTTCACTTTTCCTACCGAGAATCGCAGATTTTTAGTTATCTTGAAAAATGTTCAATACCTATGTTTTGTTCCAATGTTCCAAGTAGTCAGAATTAGCAACAATAAGCACTTTTTACAAACGAAAGTAATCGTTTGAAACTATTTTACATAGAATAAGTGTACCAGTTTTGGTACTAGTTGTCCAGATTTTTGGCCCTATGGCCTTAGTAAAATTTGAAATAAATGTTAATGGCTTTATTTGCGTAGATTTTTGTTAAAACAAATGTTTTAACCTTGTAATAAAAATAATTGGAAAGAATGTTAAAAAATGAAATTTAAGATAAGGCCAATTTAACGACCACTAGGGCCCAAAACTGGTACACCTACCCTAGTTATGTTTCTAGATTTCTTAGAAAACTTTCGACTTTTTTCAAATGTCAACAGAATATTTCATGCTGTATTATGACACTCATAAGTTGACTTACTAATAGCACAATGTTAGTTTCATTACACCTATTCAACGCAAACATAAAATCTTCGAATGGTTTACATTCAATTACATTCAGTTATCGCAATTTATTACGTAATGAATCGAATGGAATTCAACCAGGTCGAAGAGACTAAGAAATATTACATCTGTAAATATGCAATATTATTGGTTAATAACGCTCTTGATTGACTTCTGACCGGCTTGAAAATACTAGTTAAGAAAAACTAGCCCCCTGTAAGCTAGTCGAAAAAAAAGGTCGCATTACCCGATGTCCAACATACAAGGTCTGCAACCATTGGCGTAGCTAATGGAGGTGCCAAGGAGGCCAGGCCCCCTCCAGAATTGTTGGTGTTTTTTTTTTTGAATCACCGGTATTTTGTCAAGCTTGTTAAGTTCGATGCTACTAATAAAATTAATAAAATTGGACCACTAACAAAGATTTTTTTGAAGTCCTTTATGATGATTAATTTTGTTATGTTCTGAACTAGAAGAAACAATTTTGAGAAATTTTATTAAATCAAATCGATGGCAATAAGACGTCTTCAGGCTCTACAAATTGGCCATGAGCCCTAGGATTTTCCTTTGACTTGTGGGAACTTCGTAAAACTTCAAATAGAAGTTCAGGGAAGATCGTAGAAATTAAGTAAACTTGGTATAAATTCTGGGAACTTCATAGACCTTCAGAAAAAATTGTACACATTGTGAAAAGTTCTGAAAACTGCGTAGAAGTAGAGAATTCATTTAAATTTAAAGAACTTCGTAGAAGTTAAAGGAACACTATTTTATTTTAGGGAAGCTCATTGTTGATCGGGAACCTCTACATAATTTCAGATTTTTTAAAGCGTCATGGACTTGGAATAGTTGTGGAAATTACGCACAAAATTCCAGAAATTTTGTTCATGTTCGCAGAAAATCAACGAAAAACGTAGAAGTGCAGCAAGCTTTGTAGAAGTTTTTAGAATTTCGAAGCACTTTGAGGAGCTGCGTAAAACTTCAAGTAAGTGTAAGGAATTATGAAAAAGTTTAGGGAATTTTGTAAAAAATCTAACAATAGATCAATAAACTTCTAAGAACTTCAGGGATCTTCGCTTCAGTTTAGGGAATTTCGTTGCCGTTTGTCATATATCTTACTCCAAAAAAGCTCCATGAACTTCTTGGAGGTTTTGGGAACTTCGCTAAATTTCAAGGAACTTTCTATGTGTTCTAGATATCTTAGGTGTCTTTCCAGAAGTACAAAGATGTTCAGAGATCTTTTTAAAATTAAGAGATGGAAAAAATATGGAAATTGGAATAAATTCAGGAAACTTCGGTGAGGAAATTTTGGAAAAACTTTGGAGGGTTTTGTAGGTGTTCACTGGAAACGTTGCAAAAGTTAAACGATATTCTTTCAGATATCCTTCCTAGACAGCAGGCAGTATTCGAAAGATCTTCATATATTTGAAGATATTAGTAAAGTTCACTGGATATTTGGTAGGTTGTAGGTTGATCAGGAAGTATTCAAAAGTTTTCCAGCTAATGGAATCAGATGGAATCTTGAATGATGAATCTTGATTTTATGGTCAGATTTGAACATTCTCTATAGGGAAGACCCGCCCGCATAAACGCGAACCATCACATGACCTTACCGATAATGGTTATAAATTTTTTATAATCCCTGCTAAACTTCAACTGAAATGGTTATGGAACTTTACATGAACGTTTGTGTGATAATGTTTTAACCTTATGTATTGTGGTTTTTTGGAAGCGGACCTTACAAATAATGGGTTGTTAAGAACCATTACCATTCCAAATTCTTGTTTTCTCCATACATTTTCGGAAAGAGAACTATATTAGAACGTTTTTACTTATGGTTTGAGAACATTAATGGTTATGGTTATGGTAGTCTGTAAGGTCCATTAATGGTTTTGTATTATCGCTCAACTTTACGTGAAATATATTGTGAATTGGTAATCAGTAATTTACAGGCAACCAATTCGCGATATATTCCACATAAAGTTGATCGATGTTACAAAACCATTCATGGACCTTACTGGTTACCATAACCAATACCATTAATGTTCTCAAACCATAAGTGAAAAGGTTTTAGTATAGTTTTCTTTCCGAAAATGTATGGAGAAAACAAGAATTTTGAATGGTAATGGTTCTTAACAACCCATTATTTGTAAGGTCAACTTCCAAAAAACTATAATACTTAAGGTTGAAACTTTATCATTAAACGTTCATGTAAAGTTCCATAACCATTTCAGTTGAAGTTTAGCAGGGATTATAAACAATTTTTACCATTGTAGGTAAG